TCAAAGACCCCCTGACAAGCAGCACAAGGTGCTCGATAGGACAGTCACATTATGTACCACCTGTGATTCAAGCCTGCAGAAATGATCTAATTCAAATCAGAGCTGCCAGGCAGCTAATGTGAATTAGGGCCCCATTGTGAAAAGGCTCATTCATCTTGTCTCTGGTTGTCCCAGAGAGCCAGTTCCTGACAATTCTAGTCTTCATTGTTATGGTTTGGATCAAAAAATGTCCCCCAGAAGGCTCACATGTTCAGAGGTGGGACCTAGATATGTGTTTGGATTGTGAGATGCTAACCTCATCAGTAATTAATCCATTGATTAGTTTAATCCATAGCTCAATAGTTGATTAGGAAGTGAGGCCTAGTCAAAGGAAGTAGGTCATAGGGGCATGATCTTGGGGCTGTATCGTGTACCTGGTACCTCTGGCTGCCATGAGGTGAGCACTTTTCCTCTGTCACCCTCTCCACCATGATGTTCTGCCTCACCACAGCCCAGAAAGAACAGCGCCAAATGACCATGGACTGAGCCTCTGAAGCCATGAGCCAAAATAAACCTTTCTTCCTTTAAGTTGTTATTCTCAGGTATTTTGTCACAGTGACAGAAAGCTGAGTGACACAATATTGTAACATTATTTGTAACTGAATATAATTATCTTCCTACCTGACTGTCCCAACTTTCTACATTTATTTCAACCTTCTAATTTACCTTAAAAAGCAGGCTCTATTCTTTTATCATGAAAAATAATTTTTAATTAATTTTATTGGTACAATTTAAATACACATAATGATCATATTCATCAAAAAGTTATAAAAATAATTTTATATAATAAAGGGTAGTGATCACTACACTCAGCCACTGCTCAGCTTTATTCCAATTTCTCATAGTGTTTATTGATGACATAAACAATACATACTTATACAGATGTGATTGGTATCCATAGGCTTCTCTCACCCTTATTTTTCTATACATATTTCTCACTTCGAGAGCACCTGTTTTTCATAGTAGTATAGTATTGCAGATAGGTAAGTTAAGTAGATATCTTGTAGACAGTGACACAGGGCCAGCCCTCGAGAAGCCAACATGAAGGACTTTGAAGACACATTCACTGAAGGCCGAGATTCTAAAAGAGGAGAAACTACCACACCCATGTAGGATGAATAGCAGTAATTGATATTCTAAATAGGTATCAATCACCTGGGTGAGGGCCCAAGGTCTTAACCCAGCCTTTCCAGGAAACATCCCTCACCCCTACCCTTACTGATAATCCCTGTATGCTTGCTATGTGACTGGCTCCCCCACTTAATCATATTACCTGGGTGACTGTACTTGTAATTTTATTGGTTGGTCATGGTTTTGTCCCACCTCATGGCCACCTTGAAAATTTCCACTGGGTCTTAGAGTTCTGTTCCACTTTGTACCCGCCTCACCACATGGCTTTGCTGTACAAAACATCTTTGAACCGTGGGGTGGGTGGGCAACCCACTTTCCGGTCCCGCTTCTGTCTCTCTTAGGCAGGAGCTTTCCTTCTCCCAATAAATTCTTCCTACTCTTAACCTCCGTCGTTCCTGGAATTCATTCTTCCATTTTAGAGACTAGGAACTCACGTTTCAGATATCTAGTAGGTTTGGGAGTCACATCTCTTCCCCTGTATTAGTAGGTAGCTGTAAAGTATTTGTTTCATCTTAATTATCAGGAAGCAGTTCCTCTGTATCCATCTATAACAAGTCAATACGGATCATTTGTTTCATTTCTTCCTCAAAGTTGCAATGTTGCAGCAAAGGGAGTCGAAATGATCTTTCAGAGACAGGGGAGCTGGGTAAAACCAAAAGGAAGTTTATTGCCAGGCAATGGCCAGCCTCAGGAAACGCGCTCTCCTTATGCCTTATACAGGGCAACTTAACTTGCAGTTGATTACACACCAGAATGTGGCAAGGGCATGATAAAGCAGCACTAGGTGGCAAGGGCGGCATAAGTTGTTATTACAGGATGTAGCAAGGGTGTGGTACAGCAGCATTAGGTACAGGATACTTACGTAGAGAGCAGGCTGCCTGCACAAGAGGAAGGAGGCCCACCCGGAGTTTCCAAGCAGGGACAATTTCACAAAAGTTTCAAACGGTTTCAGCACAGAGTTCATTAACAAATATTATACAATAATTATATATTCCAGGGCCAGGGATTTAGCTCAGTGGTTCCAGTGCCTGCCTCGAAAGTGCAAGGTCCCGAGTTCGATTTCTGGTACCAAAAAAAAATTATCTATTCCAAATTATGTTAGGTAGCTCTTTCTGCCTCAGCAACTGCACTATTTTCACCAATTATGTCAAAACAGGATTCATGAAATAAAAGTTAGGATGTGCGTGGGTCCTCCCAAGTAATTTCTTGCTAAATCATACACTATTGTTTTATTTTTGTTTTTTGAGGCAGGGTCTCACTATGTAGTTCAGGGTGGCTGGCCTTGAATTCACTATGTAGCCCAGGCTGTCCTCAAACTTGCAGCAATCCTTCTGCCTCAGCCGCCCAAGTGCTGGGGTTATAGGTTATACACCACCAGGCCTGGCCACACTAACTCTTTTTTGGTAGCAGGTATTGAACTCAGGACCTTGTGCTTTCCAGGCAGGCAGCGGAGTCACTGAGCTAAATCCCCATGCCCACACTGACTCTTTTTTTTTTTTGGACTGGGGATCGAACGAACTTGGGTCCTTGCGCTTGCACAGCAGGCAGCGAAACCACTGAGCTAAATCACCAGCCCTCCACACTGACTCTTTATGCCATGTTTCATCTTATATTGTTCATTTACCAAGAGCCCTTTTCATTTTATTACACTTATTTCATTCATTAGTGGCTGAAAGTGAACTTCAGGGTGTGACTCACATTTGGATAGCAAACCACATTCTACACCTAATAGGACAATAACTTGCAGAGAAGGATAACACCGTTTAACTTCACCCTGTTCATGTGAATCTAGCCTCCCTCGTATATATACAAAGGCTTCTCTCCTTACAATACGGTACTCACATGGTCTACACTACCGAATTCTTTTCCTTGGCCCAGCATGAATTCACACAAGTCGAGTGGGCTTTTTTTAGACAGGGTTGCACTATGTAGTTCAGGCTGGCCTCGAACTCACAGCTGTCCTCCTACCTCTGCCTGCCAGGTGCTGGGATTGCCTGTGCCGCAATGCCCGACTTTTATAACACGTAAATACCCAAAATCCTTTACTATGCCTTTACTATTTATGCTGCTCATAGCTGTTACTGAATGTTTGGAACCTTGATGGATAAAGTATCAGATAACAGGATCTAGGAAAAAAATAGCCTTTCCAATTGTTTTATGCAAACAACTCCTTTTTCCTTTCTCTCTTTTTTTTTTGTTTGGTATTAGGGATCGGACTCGGGACTTTCCGCTTGCAGGCGGCGGAACCACTGAGCTAAATCCCCGGGCTCGCTCGCTCTCTCTCTTCTTTTCTTTTTCGGATCTCATGTTTTATTTTATTTTTTTGCAAACAACTCCTGTCTAAAATGTTTACATACACTTTTAAGGTTAAAGCCAGGCTGGAGGTGTAGCTCGGTGATAGAGTACTTGTCTAGCATGTGTGAGGCCCTGGGCTCAAGTTCTAGAACCACAAAAACTAAAACTAAAACAAATACGTAGTTCAAGCGGATCCCTCGCAGGTGTAGTCAACATCTTTAATGCTTCCTGAACAGACGGTCGGGCTCGTCTCCAGCCGCAAACCCACCAGAGGGCGCTCATTCCTTGTCGGTCTAGTCTTCAGCAGCGACAGAAAATCCAAGTTACGCTTCATTTTAACTCTCACGAAGTCTTCCACGTTTGATGCACAAATTCTTGCCGAGGATCGCCTGTGCCGCGGGTCGCGGAGCTGGGCTCATTCCCGCAGCCGTGAGTCAGGCACGTTCCTTCTCCCACGGCCGGAGACGGTGAAGACCGAAAAGCTGTGCGGCGGCGGGAGGAGCGTTCCCCGGTGCGGGGCCTGCTGTTTCAGGACGGGCTCCGAGCCTCGGCAGCCCGCGCAACTCCCTGAGATCCAGGGCTGCCTCTGCCACCGGGCGGCGGACTCGGCCTCCAGGCGCTCGTCGCCCGAGCTGGGCCCCGTGGGCGCTGTCGGCCCGCGCCGCCCCCACCCGCTCCCGCCCGGCCGCCAGGTTTCCGGCAGCTCCGGACTGCGCGTCGCCCCACAACCAGCGTAACCCCAGGCCCAGCCCCTCTCGGGTTTAAAACCCGCGGCTTTTACTGTTCGGCAGGCGTAGGGGTCTCGTGCGGACTCTCGCGAGAGTCCCGAGCCCTCGCGAGAGGTTTGCTTTTGGTCCTTCCGGAATTGGAGACCCGTGTGGGTCAGGGTGGTCGCCCCTCGCCCACCTTCGGGGACCCCCGCAGGGAGTCGCGTCCGCACAGCTCAGCCCCAAGGGAAAGACGTGGCTAGGTTCTAGGGCCGGGCTCCCGGGCCCAGCCTGACAGCACCTCCCCACCGGCTGCCGCGGGGCGGGGCCGGCGGCTAGGGATCCCCGGCGCGCTGTCGCTCCGTCCCCGCCCGCAGTGCCACGGTGGCGCGGGGCGCAGCCCGGCCCGGGACGCGCCCAGCTGCCCGATCGCCCGCGGCCGCCGCACCTGTCGGCCTGGGGAGGCCGGCGGCCGCGCCCTGGGAGAAGCTGGGTGCGGGTGGCCCGGGGCGGCCCGGACTGTGGGGATCCTGGCGTCCCGCAGCGCCCGGGCAGCGGCGCACACTGGGCGGCCCCAGAGCTCCTCCGCCCCTCCGTGGGGGACGGGCCCGTCCAGGCCCCCAGCTCTCCCACCCGGCCCCGGTCCGCACACCTCCTCCCCCAGCTCTGGTGTTCGGTTACGGCCCCTCTGCGCCAGCCCAGAAGGAAAGGGCCGGGGAAGGTCCCTGGAGGCTGCATGAAGTGGCGGCTCGGAGCCAGGGGAAGGGGGACACGACGTCGGGGCGGGAGAGGGCGGTGGAACTGCCTCTGAGCCTACGTCCGCGGTCTCTTAGGTCCCCTGGCAGCGGCGGAGGTGCCCGGCCCAGCCGGCGGCGCCCTCTGCTCGCTTCCCAACTCGCCAGCCCTTTCCTCGGTGAGTCCCGGGCCCTGGGCCACACGCAGGGCCGCTCCACCCCCACCTGGTCCTTTCACACCCTCTTATCCTGGTGCTATCCGCTTCCGTCCAGCTCCGGACCCAGGAGCACCTGGGCCGGGTAGCATGTGAGCGTGTGCTTGAGTGTGGGAGGGCGAGCCCGGAGCCTTGGTCCCCCACCCCCTCTGAACAGCCTGACCCATTGCCGACCCGGGGAGCCCCCAGGGCTCCGAGGTGGCAGGGGCGGGGGCAGTGCCGGGTCTGATGTGGTGCCCGGGGTGAGGTCCGTCTGTGCAGATCTTGTTTCTGACTCCTCTGCCCGGCTTCCCTCCCTGGCAGGGCGTGATGCCCCGGGTGCACGCAGGGCTCGCCGCTACCCGTGCCGGGGGGGCCTCCGCGCTGCCCCTGCTGCTGCTTCTGGTGGGCCTGTGGCCGGCGCCCCTGGCCCGCGCCCGGCCGCCCCCGGGTCCCGACCCCCTGCGGCGCGGGTGGCAGCGGCTGCTGGCGGAGGGCGAGGCCTGCGGCCCCTGTCGGCCGGGAGAGTGCGCCACGCCTCGGGGCTGCCGGGCGGGCCGGGTGCGCGACGCTTGCGGCTGCTGCTGGGAGTGCGCCAACCTCGAGGGCCAGCTCTGCGACCTGGACCCTGGCGCCCACTTCTACGGGCGCTGCGGCGAGCAGCTGGAGTGCCGGCTGGACGCGGGCGACGCGCTGAGCCGCGGGGAGGTGCCGGAGCCGCGGTGCGTCTGCCGCACCCAGCGCCCGCTCTGCGGGTCGGATGGCCGCACCTACGCCCAGATCTGCCGCCTGCGAGAGGCGGCCCGAGCGCGGCCCGACGCCAATCTCACCGCGGCGCACCCGGGGCCCTGCGAGTCGGGTATGCGCGGCCCGCGGCTCCCCCCTCGGGATAAGGGCTCCCAAACCCCGACAGTGACTGTCTCTGGCTAGCAGAGCGAGGAAAGAGGAGGGCTGGGGGACCCGCTCCCCGTCCCCTAGGCGCGGCGCCGAGCTCGGTCCACAGGTTCTGCGCAGAGCCGCCGATCCACCGATCCACCAACGGCTGGCTCACAATGGAAAGACCCCGCAGTTGTTGCCCGGCTGCTGGAGCCCAGGCAGCGGGAAGACTTGCTGAGAGATCGGGTTTCATTTGGGCAGAATCTTAGAGCAGTCTGTTAACGCAGGAGCTCTCCTCTCTGCTGCGTTTGGGAATTACGGAAAAGGGGTGCAGCATTTTCACTTCCCTGCCCCCATCCCTGAAGAACAGGGTCCATTTCAGCCTCAGGTTTTCTTTGGCAACTTATATGGCTTCCTTTCTGAGCCCCTCCTCTGGGCCTGGCTTGGCTGGGGCTGCTGGGGAGACAAACGTGCCAGCTGGGCCCCAGCAATTTCTCCAGTCCTCCAGGCTTCCGGCTGGTGCCTGGTTTCAGGGTCTCTTCGTGGCCCTGTCTCTAGCCTCCCTCTGCTTGCTGACAGGCTGAGTGGAGATGGAGGGGGCTCTGCAGGCCTCGGGGAACTAGGCCAGGGGGAGAAAGGGAGGAAGGGGCAGGAGGTATTGGCTACTAGCACAACAGAAAAGGGCCCGGGAGGGTGGAATGAGGATCGGAGGGCAGTCGGGGACAGGGTGTCGTCAAGCTCAGGTGTGGCGCCGTGTGCTTGTGTGCACACGTTTGCATGTGCCCTGAGTGTACATGTGTGCATGCGCATCCCTGTACCTCGTCTGTGCCCCCGTGTGTACCCTACAGCTGCGTTTATGTGTCTGTGCTCGTGCCATGTTTTGTCTGTGGGTGTGTATTCCCCTCGGCACAGCACAGAATGTGTTCACACGAGCTTCTGCACAGTCATCCCTCAGCTGCCCCTTGGGGCTGGCTGCACCATCCTGTTCTCAGGCCTCTCCCCTTCCCCAGAGCCCCAGATCCTGTCGCAGCCCCACGATGTTTGGCATGTGACAGGGCAGGATGTGATGTTCGGCTGTGAAGTGTTTGCCTATCCCATGGCCTCCATTGAGTGGAGGAAGGATGGCTTAGATATCCAGCTGCCAGGGGACGACCCCCACATCTCTGTGCAGGTAGGGGCAGGGGACAGAAGTTTCCTGTGGGGCAGCCCTAGGGCCCCCAGAGTTACGTTGCTGACTGCATCTTGCTTCAGTTTAGGGGTGGACCCCAGAGATTTGAGGTGACCAGCTGGCTGCAGATCCAGGCTGTGCGACCCAGTGATGAGGGGGCCTACCGCTGCCTCGCCCAAAACGCCCTGGGCCAGGTTGAGGCCCTCGCCGCCCTGACAGTACTCACGCCAGGTAAGGCGGGCCCTGGGGGCTGGGAGCCCTGGTGAGTGTTTAACACACAAGCATAGGCCTCCAGACTTCTCTCTCCTGTGCCCATGGTGTTTGCAGAACAGCTGAACTCCACAGGCACACCCCAGCAGCCATCACTGGACCTAGCACCTGAGGAGGAGGCTGGAAGTGAAGAGGGCGAAGATTACTACTAGGTCCAGAGCTCTGGCCCTCGGTGGGGAAGAGTGGGCATAGTGTTCGTCCCTGCTCTTTTTTTTTTTTTTTTTTGGTACCAGGGATTGAACTCTGGTCCTTGTGCTTGCGAGGCAGGCAATGGAACCACTGGGCTAAATCCCCAGCCCTTGTCCCTGCTCTTGAGAAGACCTGGGAAAGACCTGCAAAGGGCAAGCATGGGTTGTTTTGATGCTCCTAGCAGGGCTGTCGGTCGTGGTGGGGGGGAGAGGGGCAGACACAAGGGGTGCACAGGCGGCTGTGCAGAAGACTCTGGCTCTGAAGGCCTCCAGCATGGCGGCCAGCTGGTCCTGGTGGAGGCTGGCCCCACGTCCACAAAGGGGGGGACACCAGGATGCCCTTTCTCTTCAGCAGCCCTTCCTCCAGCCCTGCTCAGCCAGTGTCTTCTAACTGCCAGACCCTGCTGCTCCTGTGATCTTCCGGGTACCCAGCCTTTGCCAAGCCTCAATTTACCCCTCCTCAAAACTCATCTTCCAGTTTTCCTCTCACCGCAGGCCTGCTTGCACTTGCAAACTGCAATCCTTTGTGCTGTTCATCTCCTCTATAAGAGAGTACAGCAGAGTAGTTTGGTTCAGTGCAGTAAGGGAGTGGGCTTGCTCCTATCTTATACCGCTGTGTAGTGGACTGAACATGACACGAGGCACAGTGGGCACCAATAAAGATTAACAAGCTGAGCACACGCTGCAGACAGTTCTTGCAGGCGGCGTGTGAAGACTGACGCCCCAGAGGCCTCGCGCGGGACTCCTGCTCTGGACAGGACGAGCCGATGCTTGGAGGAGTGGCAGAGATGGAAGTCCCAGGCCCCTGTTCAGTGTACCGTCTCCTCTCCAGGCAGAGTAGGAGCCTGTTCCGTCCACCCGGGCTGAGCCCTGTCCAGTCTGACCCTGGTTCCCCAGCTCTCTGTTCACATTCTCCTTAAAAGACCAGTGGCACCGAGGAGACTACTGGGTGACTGAAGGGGACAGTAAAAGCGTAAATTAGGGGCCAAGCCACTGTCGGCCGCCCGTGGCCTCCCACGCGCCTGGGCCCCGCCCGGGCTGGCGCCACAGTGGGAGGGACTGGGGCTCCGAGTCTGAGTTTGTCCTCTGGGAACTGGCGACGTGGTCGAAACCCTGACCTCGGGCGCGGGCGCGGCCGCCCCTCTGCATCCGAGCGCAGCTCCCGCCTCGCCTGCCCTCGGGCCAGCCCGGGACGCTTCTGCTTGCTGACCCGGACTGGAGCCCCGGCGGCCAAGGCCAGGCCAGCGGCTCGTACTTGGAGCGAATACCAAGGCGACCTCGGGAACAAGGGTTGGGGTTGGCGGTGGGTTCCTGTTGGAGCCAAGGGACGACAGCTTTGTGCAGAGAGCGGACCCGGGTCTGGGGGGCCCGACCGGGCGACTGCGTCCAGCACGGAGCCTAGGCTCACCGCCCAGGCCGGGGCACCGAGAGGGTGCCTGGAGTCCCTGGAATCCGTTCTCCTCGGTCGCGTTTGCAGTTTGCAGGTCTTTCCTAAGCAACCTCCTCGAGGCCTCAGTTTCCCCCTCCGCCACCCCGCTGGCTGGGCTCCGCAGCTTGGAACGGGAGGGGCCCCTGCTGGCCCGCACCCCGCCTCCGCTGCAGCGGGCCGGCTTTAATAATGTCGCTGGAAAGTGACACGCGATTTATTATTAAAGTAATGCGGGCGCAGGGACGGGAAAGGTTTAATAAACGCGCCGAGATGCCGAGGATTATTCACCGCAAATAAATGAGAGCGCGGGCGGCGTTTTAATAAATAATTTCCCGCTGCTCCCTGGGGGGATGAGGCAGACTGCGAACTCTCGCCTCGCTCCGCTTTCCGCGCTGGGCCTGCTCGCCCTGGTGGGAGTTTCCAGGAAAGCCCACCCAGAGGGGGCCCCAGGACCTAGCCGGGACGAGTCCGCCCCGCCCCGCCCCGCCGCCCCGCCTCCAGGGCCTCAGGCGGCTTCCCCAAGACGCCCTAGGGTGTCCATCAGGAGTCCAGGCCCGATCGATGGGGCAGACAGGACGGGAAGCCGCCCCTATCGAGCAGAGGCCCCCAAGAAGAAGCCGCCCCTCCGGAGCCCAGGCTTCGCGGGCCTCGAGGCCTGCTGGCTCCTCCCCCCAAGTCTGGCGGTCCCGGGCTGGGCGTCCCCACTCGGCGCAGGGGCACTGTGAGGGGTGAGATGAGGGGCCGTGGGTACACGTGTGTGCCCGTGACCCCGGCTGACACGCCCGGGCCTCGTGGGGAAGCGAGTCCTTCAGCCGCACGCCGAACCGACGCGGAGAAGGAGCCCGAGACGGAGCCCGGGCCGGCGGTTTAGGACTGGGCGGAGCCAGAGCCCCCAGGCGGGGCGGCTCGGCGACAGAAGCCCGAGGCTCGGCTGGAGAGGACGACCCCGCCTTCGCCTTCGGAGAAGCCCAGACCGCAGACTCTGGGGACGGAGGACACTAGGACACTCGTGACGCTGGGGGAAGGGGGAGTAGGGAGGCGCCCGCACACCTGGCTCCGCCAACGTCGCGCCCCAGCCCCAAAGCGACATCTCTGGCAACTCTTGGAAGTACAGGAAGTGTGGAAAGAGTGCCATCTGGTGGATACTTCTGGCGGTGACAGGCAGGCCGGGCCAGGACCTTCGAGTTTTTCCTTGATTGGAAAAATCTGTGTTTAAAAGAAGTTCGATTTCTACTCATTTAGTGTATGTGAACGTGCACACATGTGCGTTATATATACCATAAACATCTATGTCTGATATCTAAAGTGATGTCTATGATATGTGTATAGTGGTATATATGTTTAGCTGTATGTATATATGCCACAGAAAGTATGTGACCAAACACATGTATATAAACACATGTATTTATCTAACTACATGTAAATAAGTATGCTGGTAGTATGTAGGTGTTTGTGTGTACAGAGCATTGTGTATATGAGTGTATTATATGTATATACATTTATTTGTCAGTATGTACTGTATTTCTTTCTTTCTTTTTTTTTTTTGGTACAGGGGATCAAACTCAGGACCTTGCGCTTGTGAGGCAGGCAGTGGCACCCCTGAGCTAAATCCCAGGCCCTGTACAGTATTTCACTATGTATCATGTTTTCTACAAATATTTGTTATAGAGCTATTGTAGGGCTGGAGCTACATCACGGGAAAGGTTGTCCCTGCCTCGAAGAGTTCACATTTTAGTCTAAGCTGTGTGTGTGAGTGCAAGTGTACTTATAGGGATGGCCTAGTCGCTTTCTCATTGATCAACACAACACCCGACACCCATACCTCAAAGGAAGAGAGGTTTACTTTGGCTCACGGTTTGCCCATGGTCAGATGGCTCATGGCAGAGCACCGTGGCAGAGGACCTAGTGGAACAGAGCTGCTCACGACATGGGGGCCGGGAGCAGAGAGAGCAAACCTGAGGCAGGAGGTCACACCCACAGTGAGCACCTCTCCTGGCCAGGCCCACCTTCTAACGCAAGTCAGCCATACACCCCATGACTCAGTCACCTTCAAAGCCCACCTGTGAGTGTATGAGGCCTTTGGGGGGTGTTCTTGGTCTCAGCCGTAACAGTGAGTGCACCACAGGATTGTGTGCGTGTGTGCATGTAACTGTCTACATGTGTGTGTAAGGGACAGCCTTCAGCTCTGGAGATACCTGGGTTTTCTTCATTTTTGGTTTTTTTGCAGGGTGCTAGAGATTTGAACCCACAGCTTTCCACTCACTAGGCAAGTTCCCCATCACTGAGTACCTTTCCACCCCCTCTTTTTTTGAGATAGGGTCACATGAAGTTGCCCAGAGGGACCTCGAATTTGCAATCTTCTCATCTCAGTCTCCTGAGTAGCCGGGATTCTAAATGTGCAGCATCATACCCAGCAGTTCCCCAGTTTTTCATCCAGAAGCATGGGTCCTGTCCCCTAGAGCTCTAGTCTGAGTGTGCAGACAGCTGGGCCACAGGCAAGGAGGCTAATGACCTCCTGGATGTGTTTTGGCTGTGTCCGCGCCTCTCTTGATGACTAAATTCTCCAAACAAGGGACACTGTGTAAGGCCGCTGATGGTGAGGAAGCTGCTGCAGCTCGCACCTCGCTGCTGCCCAGGGCCAGAGGCACATGGCGGATGCGAGGCAGAGGGTGGCAAGGGGCTCTCTGAGGGCAGTATTGGGGTCACTTAGAGACCGGCAGGGCCCGGGTCTGGGAGGCTGTTGGCAGGTGGCCTGAGGGCACTTGGGGAGGGCACACGATGGGGTCAGGAGTGAAGTGGGCAGGGCAGGGGCGGGGCAAGCCAGTCTTGGGTGGAGCCTGGAAGCCAGCTCTGAGGAGGCCCCACTCCCTCCCGTCTACCCCTTCCCTGTGCTGGGCCCCAGCTTCTCAGTCTCCTCTCTGCTCCATCTGGGTCCCCACCACCTGGGGCAGGAGAGGAGAGCCCGGCCTTCGGGCTGGGCCTGGCTTAGGTGACTCACTGGCAGGGGGGGTGAGACAGGCCTTGTCCTGGCCACCTGGGTCGTCACCTGCCAGCCGCCATTGCAGCTCCCAGGGGCTCAACAAGAGTGGGCTGTGGACCTGGAGGTCGCAGAGCGTCCACCCCATGCACCTCCAGGTTGCAATGGGGAAGGCGCTTCCTTCTCCCCTCCTTCCGCTAGAGGACCCCGGCTGCCTCCCCCGTCCTTGGTCTGGGGCAGCCCCTCATTCCTGTCCTCTTCTCACTTCCTCCTCTGACTGCCTCACCCGAGAGCCAGCGCTTCTTTCCCTGCCTTTCTGCCCCTCACAGGCTCTCTTGCCTCCCTTCAGTCCATCTTTTCTTCCCAGGGTTGTGACCTTGTCTGGCTGGACCATGTCCTCCCTGGCCAGGACACACTAGGTCCTGGCCTAAATTTATTTTTGATATTGTAGCTGCCATAGATGCAACTGAGGCCTTTTGGGGCAAAGCAAATGATTATGAAAGCCCAGCTTTGGTGACAAGTGTTACCCATGGTCAAGTCTCACCCATCATCCCCTGGGTGGAAGGAATCACTCAAGAGAAAGACAGGGTCCCTGTCAGAAATGACAACTCCTATGTGGGGTGTGATCTCACACGCCTGTAGTCCCAGCACTCAGGAGGCTGAGGCAGGAGGATCACTGTGAGTTTGAGGCCAGCCTGGGCTACATAGTGGGTTAAGGACAGCCTGAACTGCCTAGTGAGACCCTGTTTCAAAAGACAATACAAAGGGCTGGGGATTTAGCTCAGTGGTTCCAATGCCTGCCTGGAAAATGCAAGGTCCCCCGAGTTCGATCCCGGGTAAAAAAAAAAAAAAAATGGAAAAAAAGAAATGACAGCTCCCAATCCTCCTGCCTCGGCCTCCTGAGTGCCAGGATCGCAGGTGCGTGCCAGGATGCCTGTTCTGGGATGACAGGTTCTTTACCTCGGTCTGTCCCTGTCTGCAAGACGGCGGTAACACTTCCTCCATGGTGACTACGGAAGCTGTAAGTAATGCATCCCGAACACAGGAGGTGCTCGATAAATGGTCAGGTTCACCATGACCTTTCCCTGCACGGGATCTGCATGCAGGGCCTCGGCGGGAGGGTGTGTGCCGGAGAACGAGGCAGGACGTGAGAAGCGGGCACTAGCCTCCCCAGGGCTTGGCAGCCTCCGCCCCAGGGCCCCAGTCAGACAGGGCTCTCGGTCTGCCTCGTGGAGGGGCGGCCCCCAAACTCACCTCTATCCATCTCTTTTATCTGGGCTGCTGAAGGGCTGGCGCTCCAGCGGGGCCTCTGATGGGGAACAGACACAGACCAGGCGGAAGCAGCGGAACTGTGCTGAGCGGGAGCTGAGGACCAGGCCAGGGGTCAGCGAAGACAGATAAAGCTCAGAGCAGCGGCGGCTCGCATGCGGGGAGGGCCGCAGGGGCCGAGGCTGGGCGCGTCCTGAGAGGGGGAGGCGGCTCCGGAGACGACCAGGCTCCAGCACGGGCCTTTGATGACTCGGGAGTGGGAGGTCAGACCCTCGCGCGGGTGTCTGCGGGAAGGGCAGGGGTCCCCAGGGACAGGCAGGCAGGGGAGCCCTCAGGGTCGGGCTGAGGCGGGCCTGGGGCTGCCTTACCTTGCAGACAGAGACGGAAGGGCTCTCAAGTGATTATGTGATTTTAGTTCCTGTTTTAATTAACTTTGAAGGGCTTGGGGCCTCCCTGCAGGCCAGGGAGGGCAGCGGAGCAGACGTTTATTTTCTTTTTTAAAGACAATTTCATTAAATCACTTTGTTTTCATTCTGGCTTAAACGTGGGGCGTTTAAATGGAGAGTAATTATTTCACCTCGTTTGCCGGTGGCGGGAGGAGGCAGGAAAAGGACGCCAGGGAGGGAAGGCGAGGCTGTGGCCTCAGCGGGGCACGCGCACGCGCACGCGCTCCGCTCAGCGCCCCCCGGCGGCGGAGGGGTTAACCCGGCAGGACGCGGAGCCGCACCTGCACTTCGTCTTCATCTGTCACCCCTGACAGTCAGATACATCTTGCGGGGGGCGGAGGAGCAATAATCAACCCGCCCGCCCGCCCGGCCGCGCGCCCGCCCGGCCGCGCGCACGGTTCTGCGAGGGCGAGGGCCTGGGGGCCGGGCCGGGCCGGGGCCGGGGAGGGACCGGGCAGACGGAGCCCAGACGGGGAGCAGGAGTGGAGCTGCGCTGCGGGCTCCTGCAGGCCGGAGTGGGCAGAGCGATCTGAAGGGGTCCGGATTCGGGGGAGGAGAACAAGCCGTGGCCCCGCGAGGGCGGGACTTGCCTCGCGTGAGGCCGGCTGGACCCGGGTCAGGAGAGGAGCACCCAGCGCCGAGCGGCTCGGGCGGGACCGGCGGCCAGGAGGGCAGGCGAGCTGTCGGCCTCTCTTAGGGGCGGCCGGCAGGCTCTAGCGCCCCGCTTTGAGGAAGTTGCTGACCTCTTTATAGGGCCGAGACAGAGGACCCTTGCTCCAAGGTCCCTGACAGAATTAAGGGCGCAGCCTCGCTCCAGCTCCAGTCGTCCTTCAGCCCAGCTGGCTTCGCGGCCCACTAAGCCACGTGTCCTCTCCGGACCTCAGGGCCTCACTCAGCGGCTGCAGAGGGGAGGGTGACCTGAAGACGACCCAGTCCCCTGTGGTCCCCAGTCCTGGGCCTGCAGGGACAGCTCGTCCGCGGCAGCTCCCGCTCCGAACGCCCCGCAGGCACGCACACGCACACGCGCACACACGCGCAGTCTCCTTGCCCCTTGTACTGTGCGTATCCCTGGGGTCCCAATCATCTACAAAATTTGCTGTGGTTAAAGAGCCCAGGGCCGGGGCACCCCGACAGAAAAGCTGACTTCATGCCTTTCCGTTCAGAGGTGAAGAAAACCGCCTAGCAGTGCAGGAAAGTGAGCGCCAAGACCGGAAGTGGGCCCTGGCAAGGGCTTGCTGGGGGGAGGGGCGCTGGGCAAGGAGGGAGACCCGGCCCCAGAGGTGTGGACAGCTGAGAAGCCTGGCAGCTCCCGGACGCACTGCTGAGGGGCAGGAGTGGAAGGAGCTGACAGGCCTGTCCGGAAGTCACCTTGAGGAGCCCCACACCAGCCCGTCAGGCCCCCTCTCCCAGGGGCAGAGCCTCTGAGTCACCCACGGAGCACACACCAGCGCAGGCACGCGCACACGCGCCTCAGCGCCTCACTCTGGAGGACGAGTCATCTCTGGCTGCTACGCTCCTTCCTCACCTGGAGAAGGCCCAGCCGGGGGGAGAGAACCGACATCGGTGCCTGGTGGGAGCGGGTTCCGGGCTGTCGCCGCGGGCTTGGGCTTTTCTCTGGCAGCAGAGTCTGGGTAGCTGTGCATCTGCTCAGATACATCCGGCAGAGAGGGAGCTGGGCTTCCTGCAGGCTCAGTTCCGGAGGCAGGGTTGGGTCCGGGAGGGAAGGGCTGCAGTGGCCAGGTTGGTGGAGCGGAGCCCATCT